CACTGCCACAAAAGAAACCAACCACAGGAGAAACCAACCGCAGCCCCCCCTAGCCCCCCCCCACATGCTGTAGCGCTCGTGCTAATTCTATAGAAAACAAAGTGATTCAAAAACAAACAGGAGATTTTTTTTAAAGCGTTTATTCACAGACATCTGTGAAAATCTACATTCATCTCCACCAGTGTCAACAAGTTGTCGGGGACCAATCAGACGCAGGTGTTTCGGAGGAATCACTCTGCGTCTCCGTGACGACGACGCAGAAGAAGCAGCTTCTCTGCTTCTTTGTTCTTTGTCCCCACGGGGTAAAAAGACCCTGCGTTCAGCCTGACCTTGACTCCGCCCCCCACAGTGGAAGTGCAGTGAAGGACAAATCAAGCTGTCTCACACACGCCCTCTGGTGGTGAAAAGTCCAAACACGGGATTAATTACAGGATCAGAACGAATGCTGCACCTCAGCCACCAGGGGGTGGGGGCAAGAAGACGGTGGGGGCAAGAAAACGGTGGGCCAAGAAGACGGTGGGGCAAGAAGACGGTGGTGTCTCTGCTGTTTTAAACTCTGCACTGCAGCCAACAGACAGAGAAGACAGTGAGGACGTCAGGCCTCTGCAGTAATGCCACTATGACCAGTATGGCTGTGTGTGTGTGTGTACAGGTGTGTGTGTGTGTGTGTGTGTGCAGGTGTGTGTGTGTCTTTATGGGGGTGTTTAATAAAAGCCCAGTCCACCAAATCGTGGGCAGAGTCGAGGAGCTCTCTTCTTCTTGGACTCTGCTTCTTTGGACCAGTGTTTCTTCCTCTTGGTGTCGGTGTGAGCTGTGACAGAACAGAAGAAACAGAACATTTACATATAGGATGTTGTGTTTTTTTGGGGGGGTGGGGGGCTCGGTGGAGGGGGGTATTCAGACCTCGGGTCGGTCCCAGGCACTGCAGGCCGTGCGCCTCCTCCTCTTCCAAAGGGTTCTGGGCGGAGCTCCTCAGGTAGCGTTGGTGAAGACCGAAGCCTGGAAACATGTTCTGTCTGCGGTGACGGACCTCCTCCTGGGGGGGGTCTTCACCTGCCACGTCTGTGAAGGGGCGGGGGTGAGGGTGGGGCAGAGCAGAGAGGGATGAATCACAGCTAAAACCCCACTAAATCTTTATATTTTCTCCCCCAGCAGCGCCTCCATGGAGGAGCAGCGTCTCAGCAGCTTTGTCCCACATATGCATGTGTATCAATGGTGTCCAACATATGGCACGCCGGCCAGAACTGGTCGGTTAGAAAGTTCAATTTCACCTGTAGGAAGTAGTTACTCGTTAAATCCTTAACATTAGCTGTAATTATTAAATTGTTTTAACACATGTTCTGGAGTGAACCGTCTCTGTGGGTCAGTACAGGTCAGTACAGGTCAGTACACCAACTAGTAGTATTCATACTAATACAGTATTGATGTAGAATTTTAGAGCAGTATTTTTGTAGAGAAGTATTTCATTTGGTTTGAAGGTTCTTGATGCGACCCTAACCTCACTGGTCTCCACTGGTCTCCACTGGTCTCAGCAGGACCAGGTGGCGACATTTAATTCCAATCACTTCCTTTTGTCAGAAACACTTTTTGAAGCTTGTTGAGGTCAAAGCTGAGATTTCTTTAATTTAAAGGTTACTTTAACATCAAACCTGAATCTTTTTTATTATTAAAAAAATCCAACAAAAAGTTGAGAAGGACAGCAGTGACCCCTGGTGGAAGAACAACTAATCCCATGGGGCGTGTGTGTGGATCCTGAAGTTAAAGCAGAACGGTTGGAGATCTCAAGGTTGTGGAGTTCTTTTAGCTTCAGGGAACATGGTTACCATGGTGACAAGGATCTTATTAAGTCACATGACCCATCATCAGGTTAATTCATTTCAACAAAAACAATATCAAAGATAATAATGAGATCTTATCAGGCTCATATGAAGGCGTTTCATTTTCTGGATCAAGGACTTCATTTGAAAAGTGAACGCAGCCCCGGTCCTGGACGCAGCCCATCCCACTATTTGAGAAGTACTGTCTAGGGGCATTACCCGTAAATTAACATCGTGTGAGTTGCTTTGCTGCCACCTACTGGGTCTGCTTGACATTTGTTAATGTTTGATCTGAAGGCCGTCTGTCAACAGAAAGTCCTGTATAAAGGAGTGAGAACCAAACCATATGTGGCCTTCACTGTGACACTTTAACCTGGGGGGGGGGGGGGGGGGCACAGTTACTGTGAAGTGGTTTCTATCAATAAATGATGCATTTTTTGCAAGAAGACGTAAACCTCTGAGGTCCAGGGTGTCAGAGGTCAACACTGAGGAGACGCTGGTCCAGACAGAGATATTAGCATGATTCTGATTGGCTGAAGTGCAGAACCAGTCTGACCAGTCTTACTTCTACTAGTTCTACTGTAGCTCATCGTTTCCCTGAGACGTTTTTGTATGTATAAACAGTGCCCCCTAGTGACCAAGGTAGGAACCTACATTAAATACTCAGAGATTCAAATGTATACAATGACAATAAAGACTATTCAATTCTATATATATGTACAGATGTAGAGAAATACCAAAACTACATACTTTTGCAATAACCAGCCATTTTTAAGGGTGATCCAGGAGAGGGCGCAATTCGTTAATTACAAAAGTTGCGTGTTTGTCATTTTCTTGGATCGAGACTGAGCAGAGACTTTGAATTGACATTAATGTCAAGAACATTGTTTACCGTAGTAATACTCAGGGTGAGTACTCCGAGGTACAGAGTACTTCACTTTAAGGAGAGGGATTTTTACTGATGTTTGCTGACATCTAGTGTTAAATGGAGACTAACAGTACTGTGCTGGTACTGACTTCCTGTCATATGCACCGAGTCTTGTGTAAATAAATCTTCCCCGACCACATTCCTCTGTCTGTAGACACAAACTGACCTCTGACCCCAACAGTCGTTCACAACAGTCACAGTCCGTCCTTGCTAATGTTCCAGACTGGTTTTCAAACTCACAGCTGTTTCTCAGTGTTGTATTTTCTCCACTTTATCCCAGACTTCCTGTGAAACACCGACCTGTTGGTTTCACCTCAGTGTAGTAGAGTAGTAGTAGAGTTCAGAGTACTACGTGGGCCTGCAGGACATGTACTACCATCAGTTCCACACTCACCTGCTCTGTGAATGTGACGTTGTGGCAGCTCCATGTCAAGAAGCCAGCACACTCAAAATATCTTGACAAGTGCAATGCAACAACAAAGACTGAGGCCAGTAACTCAGCTGTGGTTTGAAGGTCCTGAAGACACACTGTTCAGGACAACAGTCACGGCAGAACAGCCACAACACAGAGACACCGTCACAACAAAAAAGGAGGAAAGCTCCGGTCTCTCCTGTAAAAATGTTTTTCACCTAAGAAATCATGAAGTTGTGACGCTGTAGGATTCACTGACACAACAGAAGTTCAACGGACAAACAGTCGGAATTAGAACGACAACAGTTGGTCTGGAGTTTGACTCTGTTCTGGGGAAAAAGAATAGGAATGGTTGGAGCTAGCACAGATAGCATAGCATTAATAGCCTGTCTATTCAAACAGCGGCCTGAGGGCCATATGCAGCCCAGACACAACCTCACAGTGGGCCAGTCACAGTGGGCCAGTCACAGTGGCCCAGTCACAGTGGCCCAGTCACAGTGGCCCAGTCACAGTGGCCCAGTCACAGTGGCCCAGTCACAGTGGGGCAGTCACTGTGGCCCAGTCACAGTGGCCCAGTCACAGTGGTCCAGTCTCAGTGGCCCAGTCACAGTGGCCCAGTCACAGTGGCCCAGTCACAGTGGGCCAGTCACAGTGGCCCAGTCACAGTGGTTCAGTCTGTGGCCCAGTCTCAGTGGCCCAGTCTCAGTGGCCCAGTCTCAGTCTACTGTTACCATTGTTGACTACTTGTTAGTTCTTACTGGTAGTGATGTCATATCCTGTCCTACAGACACTGGTCAGTGACCTTGGCGGCTGTGTCCACCTCACAGGAGGAGCCAACACAGAACGACCAGTTACTGGACACAGTGAGCTGTGATGTCACTGGTCAACATCCCATAGTGAACATTAGTGGGTTAGAATGATGCAGTGAGGGAGTGATGGGTGAGGGAGGGGGGAGAAGCACAGGCTCAGTGGGGGCTTTTATTTTTAATCAATTAAAGCAGATGATGAATGTGATCAGGTGCAGGTGCACACACACACACACACACACACACACACCAGGTGACTGTGGAAAATCACTGCCACGACCTTGACCAAAACCATGTTTCTTTATTTAGTTTTTCTTATTTTGTGAGTGTGTGTGAGTGTGTGTGAGTGTGTGTGAGTGTGTGTGAGTGTGTGTTTGCTGCTTCTGTCAATCATCAACATCGTGCAACACAAACAAACAAATGATGCAAACAGTAAAGATAAAAACTAAAAGAAAAAACAATGCACATTAGAATTAATTTATTAATCATTTATCACTCATTACACACACACACACACACACACACGTGGGCGTGGTAAAGGCTAACAGGTTAGCAGGGTGAGGCTGGAGTTAAATCAGTGGTCATTCTATTGTTAAAAGAGAAAAAAAAACCCTGTGGTCCAGTGGAGCTACAGTCCTCCTGCGTTAACTTGGGGTTAACGCGGCGTTAACGTGGCGTTAACGTGGCGTTAACTCTCTGTTCTAGAAGTTTCTGCCACAGACACACACCCAACTACAGACACACATACAGGAGATAACAGCACTAACACAGCTGTGTGCCCGTGTCCACAGTACAATTCACTTGTTGGAGTAATCAAAGACATGTTGACCCCCCCTGACCCCATCACCCCCCCGCTCCCCCCTATAATACCAATGGAATAAATACAAATAGACAAAGACTGTCCCAGCTCCACTGTCTGTCCTGAAGATAAGACAAAATAAAAAGAGAACATTGTTCTTCTGGAATGAAACACAGAAAGACAAAGGAGTGACTGTGGGTCACCTGGTCACAGACTGTGGGTCACCTGGTCACGGGTCACCTGGTCACACAGACTGTGGGTCACCTGGTCACAGACTGTGGGTCACCTGGTCACAGACTGCGGGTCACCTGGTCACAGACTGTGTGGGTTTTGGTTCGTTGGGTCTGAGTATTGTATAAATCAGGTGGAGTGTCATTTACTTGTTATCCAGTTGGAGGTGCTGCTCCTTACCATTGACTGTTAGAGATTTTAACTGACCGTCTTCTTCCACCTCAACTCGCTCCTGACCGTTCTCCACGATTCTGTGGGAAATAAACATGAAAACATTCAGCGACTCCACTGATCCACTGAATCACTGATCCAGACTTTTTTTTTTATAATTTTTTGTTGTTGTTGTTGTTAAAACAGTCATTTCATCAAAACTAAAGAATCAATAAATGAATTGATTTAAGAATGAATCAACACTCAGATTAGTTACTACCGTTTGGTTGTAATTTTCCTGCCGTTGACAAACTTGGTGGAGGTGGACACCGATCTGAAGTTGCCTGATGCTCCTCCGCCGCTGCCGAAAGACGATGAGGAGAAGGAGGTGAAGCCTCCTCCTCCCCCGCTCATGTCTCCAAAGGAGCCAAAACCTTTAAAGGAAGTAGAAGAACCTTAGACCAGGAACAGCTCTGTGATGGTCCATCATGGATCTCAAGCAGCTAAAAATGTGTGTGTGTGTGTGTGTGTGTGTTTCAGCACCTGAGTCAAACCCTGAGAAACCAGCCCCAAAAGATGGGAAGCCCCCGAAACCAAAGACTGAACCCCCCATTCTGTTCCGGCTCGGACCCCTCTGACGACTGCGACTTCCTCCAAAATGAAAATCATTAAACGGGTCGTCAGCTGTGGACGAACAGAGAAGAGAATCAGTGATGTTGACCTGCACCTGACCCCTCCTTCATCAAAGACCACCGCAGCTGGATCAACGTTGGCCTTAAAAATAAAGTTAGACAAACATGAATGTGTGGCTCAGAAATGCTGTAAAAACTGAGTGAAGGGGGAGAGTGAAGGGGGAGAGTGAAGGGGAGAGTGAAGGGGGAGAGTGAAGGGGGACAGCAGACTGGACTGCAGTACTGGATGAAGTTCAACTGTTGGTGTCCTCTGAAAACTCTGAGGACACGAGTCCAACTGTGTCCTGCCCATCTGGGTCACTGCAGCTGGATCTGTGGCCTACTTTATACCAGAACCAGGCTGTGGCCAGAACGGGGGAGAGAAGAGGGGAGAGAGGTGATGTCTGGGAAAACAGTGTGGAAGAATGTGTGTGAGGAAGGACACCTGCTGACCAAACACCTGGACAGACATGACTGTGGTAGTCAAAGACAAACTGAGGAAACTCCCCAGGAAAGAACCATCCATCCACCCAACTATCCATCCACCCACCCATCCATCCATCCATCCATCCCCCCATCCACCCATCCATCCATCCATCCACCCACCCATCCATCCACCCACCCATCCATCCACCCACCCATCCATCCACCCATCCACCTAGATGCTCTAACTCTGAACCACAGAAGTGGACTTTCTTTGGTCCAGTCTGTTCCAGGACTCCTGGACGAGGACACACATGCGCTCAGTTGTTATTACGTCTGCCTTGTTTTAATACGGACGCTATTTCTGAAAGCATTCCAGCAGAGTGAGGTCGACGCTCACATCCATCCGACCTCCGCCTGCGTCTGGACTCCATATTTAGAGCTAGACAGGGTGAAATGCCTTCCCATCAGACACTACAACCAGACAACTACAACCAGACAACTACAGCCAGACAACTACAGCCAGACAACTACAGCCAGACAACTACAGCCAGACAACTACAGCCAGACAACTACAACCAGACACTACAACCAGACACACACACACAGCCAACATCACAAAACACCAGACAACTACAG